CAGTAGCTCTCCCCACAATGGTCAAAGACTGGAATAAATCAGAATGCACTTCAATAGATGAATGGATAAGCAAACTAGGCTATAACCATGGAATGAGGCAATAGAAAAGAAAACCAGTTATCAACCCATGCAAAGATACAGATGAACTCAAGTCTATATTGCTAAGTAAATAAGTCAGTCTGATGAGGCTATGCACTGTATGATCCCATGTATATGACGTTCTGGAAAGGACAAAACTACAGAGAGGGTCAACAGATCAGTGGTTCTCAGGGGTTTTGAAAACAGAGAGCTTAAAGAGGAACTTTTTTTTTTTTTTTTTTGAGACAGAGTCTCACTCTGTTGCTCAGGCTAGAGTGCAATGGCGTGACCTTGGCTCACTGCAACCTCCGCCTCCCAGGCTCAAGTGATTCTCCTGCCTCAGCCTCCTGAGTAGCTGGGATTGCAGGCATCCAGCACCACGCCCAGCCATTTTCTTTTGTATTTTTGGTAGAGATGGGATTTCACCATACTGGCTAGGCTGGTATCAAACTCCTGACCTCACGATCTTCCTTCCTTGGCTTCCCAATGTGCTGGGATTGCAGGTGTGAGCCACCATGCCTGGGCCTTTAGTGGTAACCTGTTGTTATGCATTCATCAAAACCCATAGAATGTTACAACCTAAAGAATATGTAGTAAGGTACGCAAATTACCATAATCACTGAGGAGGTTAGAGGATGTCAGGATGGAATGCAGAATGTGACAAAGAGTCTAACCGTGTCACAAATGTATGAAACAATGGTGGGGGAAAGGTGCTGACCAAAGTGACTTTGGAAATGATGGAGATCTAGAAAGCTAAAGGCAAAGGAAACTGTCCATAAAAGGTGCTGTCTCTTTTAGAAAGTTCTTTCTCACAAGGGCAACAGTTAAGTTTTGAAGCCACTCTGCCTCTAGCGTGAAATTGCACAATGAATTAAATACCTGGCAAATGGGTGAGAGCCTGGTTTCTCACTGCTGAAGTGAGAAGTTACAGATGAGGAGACAAGCTAGAATGATCCATACGCTAATGGATTAGAGCTGAAGACATCAGTGTGAACTCATGCTTATCTTAATTTAAACACATGTTCCAGGAGTCTGTATCCATATGAGAATACACATGCTTCCTTGTACTGTGAACAGAGAGCACTGAGAAGCAAAGCTTCTCTTGTTAGGATGGCTATTATCAAAAGGACAGGAAACAACAATAGTTGGTCAGAATGTGGAAAAAAGTGAGCCCTTGTACACTGCTCTTGAGAGTGTAATGTTTCTCGAACAAGTTAAAATAGAACTACTATATGATCCAGCAATCCCACTTCTTGGCAGATACCCAAAGGAAATGAAATCAGTATCGTGAAGAAATATCTGCACTCCATGTTTAGTGCAGTATTATTCCCAAGAGCCAAGATATGGAAACCACCAAGTGTCTATAGACAGATGAGTGGATAAAGCAAATGTAAGGTATATATAGAATATAGGGCAGAATGTTATTCAGCATTAAAAAGCAGAAAATGCTGCCATTGGCAGCAACAACATGGGTGAGCCTCGAGGACATTATGCTAAATGAAATAAGCCAGACATAGAAAGTCAAATACTGTGTGATCTCGTATGTATGTGGAATCTGAAAAAGTCAAACTCACAGAAGCAGAGAGTAGATTGGTGGTTGCCAGGTGCTGGGAGTGGGAGAGGTAGCTAAATGGAGCGATATTAGCCGAAGGGTACAAACTTCCAGTTATAAAACAAACAGGTTCTGGGGATCTAATGCACACGTGGTGACTCTAGTTAATGATGCTGTGTTGGATGCTTGAGTTTGCTAAGAGAATAAATACTAAGTGTTCTCACCCCACATGCACAGGTGACACAGTGGATGTGCTAATTAGCTTGATTGTGGCAATCATTTCACAATGTATATGTATATCAAATCATCAACTTGTACATCTTAAATATATGCAAGTTTCACTTGTCAATTATACCTCAATAAAGCTGGAATAAAAGTTTCTCCCGAGGACAGATCTTGTTAAGAACAGAATGCTCTGGCATATTTCAAAATGGTGGCTGTTCTCCCCCTGCCCGAAGCCCTGTGGGAGTTTTCTCCAGGATTCACTGTGAGAATGTGGTGGAGCTCCAGGATGTAAAGCTCACAAATGTGCCCCCATGACTGGCTTTCCCTGCAGCTGTCAGACTCATCCTCACTGAGCCCAGTGCCCCTGCTCCACAGGCTCCCCTCCTTCTGGGAGCTCCGGTTCTGCTGCAGTAGTTGTGGTTCTTTGATCTGACTGTTGGTCTCTCCACTCTGGGGGCTGAGGCTTGTCCTGTGACCTCACTTCTCTTATGCATCTAAGAAGAACTCCAGATGTAAGTTCTTAATACGATCTTCCAATAAAAGAAACCAGAGCTTCTTGGAGAAATGGATAACAACAGGACTGGGGAGCAAAAATAGAAGATTGGATAGTACTGAAAATAAGAAGGTGCTCAAAAAACAAAACTAAACAAACCCCACAAAGATCAAATGTTGTCAAACAAAAGAAGGAGCTTTTGCAAAGCCCTCCTAATGGCCAAAGCAGGAACAATTTGAGCATTGAAATAAATAATGTAGTATTAAATCAGAATCGGAAGCTTACAATAACTACCCATGTGTCCATGATGGTATATATAAATGAAAAAAAACGAGTGAATAGAAATCTGTTATGTAGAAGAATTTCTAATGATTAATGCAGATAATCAGTCAACAAGGAGGCAGCAGAAACTCCACACTTATTAAGTGAGGGCTTTGCATAGTGATTTCTTTCCAAAGACCACATGTAGTATAGAGAGGGGAAGAGTAACTTCCCAGTGAAGAAAGCTGATAAACATAACTTCAGCCAGGTGATCAGCGTTAACATGAACAGGGGTCTTGGGAGCACGTGCCCTTGCTATGATGTAAGAAGAATGGCACTTTACCTCAGATCATCTTTCTCAGAACCAATAACCCCAATCTAACAATCAGAAAAGCATCATTTAAACTGGAGGACATTCTACAATACACCTGACCAGTCCTCCTCAATATCACCAAGTTTATCAAAAACAAGGAAAGTGTGACAAACCGCCACAGCCAAGAGAAGCCAAAGGAGACATCACTACTAAGTGGTATCATGGATGGAACTCAGACAAAGGAAACGTATCAGTTCATTCTCATGCTGCTATAAAGAACCCCCAAGACTTTATGAAACAAGGAGGTTTAATTGACTCACAGCTCCCCATGGCTGGGGAGGCCTCAGGAAAGTGACAGTCATAGCAGAAGGTGATTTTTCACAGGATGGCAGGAGAGAGAATGAGAGCCAGCAGGGGAAATGCAGACACTTAGAGAATCATCAGATCTCCTGAGAACTCACTCACTATCAGGAAAACAGCATGGGAGAACTGCCCCCATGATTAAATTTTTTTATTTTATATATATATATATATATATTTTTTTTTTTTTTTTCCAGCAGAGGAAGAGGTAGGCCGAAGTAGCAGGAGGCCAATTTTATATCCCAAGGAGTTTTAAAAAATGACTTCCCAGCAAGGCATGGGGAGAAAACCACTGATTTAGGAGAGTTCTTGGCTCAGCCAACCACTGCGGTTATCTATACGTTTTACAAAGGCACGGAAGTGGAGAGGGGCTGCGCTCATGACCCTCTCCAGGGCCTGCACAGCTGGCCACGTTGGGTTCTTCCTTTTTCCCTTCTGGCCTTGGTGGAATTCCTACCATGGTGGTCTCTGCCTTTGGGATGATGCCTTCCTGCTTATCCTCAGGTAAAGGATGGAGTCTATTAGCATTTCCCAGGGGAATTCCAAGGACCAGCCTGGCCTCATCTTAAGTTCACCCCCCAGGAAGGTGATCTGGAAAGCCTTTAAACATGCGCTCTGGGTGGCTGAGTAGTGTCACCAAGCTGCTCTTGTGTGGGGCTGAAGCACAAGGGGGCAGGCAGCTGGCCAGTGGCCTACAGTGGGGGGAGAACCCCCGCAGGCCTGCAGGAGCCAGGGAGAGCCTCCAACTGGATCTAAACTTTGGGGACAGCCCAGGGGTGCCCCTCTTCACATGGCTCCCAGGCTCCCAGCCTCCCTCAAAGTCCTCCCCAGGCCCTGCAGGCAGAGAGGGCAGAGGTTGCTTGGAAAGCCTGCTGGCGGCTCCGAACTCCTCAGCAGGGCTTTAAAGCACATTCTTTCCACGAGGAGGTACTCTTGGCTGGGCTTCCTGAGTGCTAGAGAGAGTGCCTGCAGAGGTAACCAGAGAAAGGTGAGGATTGAGGCTGAGCCAGCCTCTGGCTGTGGGCTCAGAATGGCCCTCAGCCCAGCCATGCCTCCACCCAGCCCAGATCTGGGTAGATTGTTTGCTGTCTGATCTGAAAGTTGCCTAGAGACAGCTGAGGGCTGATGACCACAGACTGCTGCTGCCAACATTGTTTCCTTCTCCAAACACAAGACAGGGCAGACTTTTGAGTGTGGGGGCATCTTTGGTCTGATAACTGTCCTGGTTTGGGGCTCCCCGCTGAATGACATCAGACAAGATGACAAGGCTGACAGCAGGACATAGAGTCTGATCTTTTGGATGCTAGAACTTCAGGGTTCTAAGCTCCTACTGGACACACCTGACCTGTCCACAGCTGTAGCTGGAGGTATGTGGAGAAGAATGGCAGAAGGGCCACAGTGGTGAGGTGACATCCGAGAAGGGCCCGTGGAGCTATAAGAGGACAGATGAAACATGCCCAGAAGGGCCTCCCAGCCAGAGCAGCCACTGTGCATCCTACATTTCCATTCTGGTCCTGTGTGTCCTGCATCCATTGTTTTTGCAAACATGTGTCCTCAGGGGTCTCTGAAGAAGGCACTTTCCCCTGGCAGCCTGCCATGTATAAGCCTGAATAGAAGCCCAAGTCCATCCACAAGGGCTGGGCACTGTCAGAGTTGAGGGGAGAAAGAAAGACACCTTCTAGCTGCCCCATGGGCAGGCCAGAGAGTAGAGCAGGACATGAGGCATGCGCGTGGACAAGCATGGCAGAAGGGACAAGGCTGGGTCTCAGGACAGGACCGGCGCTCAGTCTGGCAGGCCACCAGGAGGGCAGACCAGCATGGCCAGCCACTTCCCTTTGTCTGCCCCAAGGGCAGTGGAGGTTGGTGACTGAGGACACTGAGTAAGAGAGTTCACAGGAAGGGGGTCCCAAAGGTGGGCTATTGCTGTCAGCAGGCCCCGAACCTGCTTCAGACCTGAGCAAGGCCTCCCAACGGTGCGGTGGGCCAGCAGAGTTGGAGGGAGGCACTGAGGCTGAGTGTAAGGAAGGGCTGGGGGCGGTGCAGCCTCCTCTCCATGGGCAGGGAAGGGTCTCCTGGCATCTCATGCGGCCACGTGCCAGCTAAGCAGCTAAGACTCCCCCAGTCTCTTGCCAATCCTGGTGAGGGCCTCAGACGCCTGCTCTGGCAGCTGCGCTGGGTCTGTGAGGATGGGGGAGGAGGTGCTCAGCTGCCGCAATGTGTTCAGCACCATTGGCCTGAGGATGGGCAGGGAGCAGTGCTGGTCCAGCCAGGACAGTGCCGTGCAGTGCAGCTCCTCCAGGCTGCTGATGGACACCATGCCCTTGAACGACTCGAACAGCGGCTTGATGATGATGCTGAAAATCCAGAAGTTCCAATTCTGCAGGTCTGGCTTTTCACGTATTCATCAAACATGTCTCTCATGTGATTGAACTGGGTGACGGGGACTCCCGTGGCAGGGAACAGCTGCTGGCAGGAGATGATAGCGGCATTGAGCTCCTTTCGATCTCCTCCCGCAGCCGCCGGGCCTCCTCTTGCATCTGGCCCCTCTCCTGCTGCAGCTTAGTGATGTACTCCATGGTCTTCTGCAGCGTGATGGCATGGCTGGTCAGCCTGGAATTGTTTGAGATGAGGATGTTGAGTGCATCGAAGCCCATCTTAATGTTGAAGCACCTTTTCTGCTCAGCTGAGATGTGTTTCATCTGCCGGTTCTTTAATGCAGCCACATTTTTGGGGTCAGATTTTCCTGAGCAGTTGTTCTGGGGAAACTGAGGGCTGGGGCTCTGCTCTGATGTGCACTGAGAGGCCTGCCCTGAGTTTGGGCAGTCCAGACTAGGCCCTGTGACAGTGACCTGGGGGCTGCCCCCATGCAGCGGGACCTGCTCGGCCTTCCCCAGGGTCTTATGCTGTGCTTGGGAAGAGCTGGGAGATGGGGGCAGGTGGGTTGCTCGTGCTGTGGCCGAGATCTGTCACCAGGATGCTGCTGTGGAACTCTGGGACCCCAGGAGCCCTGGCGATGGCGGCAGGTGCAATGACCACATTGGACTGGGACACCGTGGAGGCCAACATCCCTTCTCTCTTCAGAGGCCCTGATGTCATGATCACCGCTTGTGGCTGGCCTGAAAAGGGAGCTGGGGTGATGCAGGTGTTCTTCAACACCAAGGACACGGGCTCTGGTTTGGGAGCAGGCACTATTTTGTGAGGCTGCTTAGGCCTTCCCCCCATCAAGGATACAGGTTTGGGGTGCACAGAAGTTAACTGAGGCTGGGGAGGCCGGGTGACAGGAGACAGTGTCAGGCCACAGGGGTTCACTGTGGGGCAAGGTGATGGGTGGTGATGGGTGGCCCTTCAGTCAGGGCCTCTGGCTGAAGGTGGTGGTGGAGGCATCATGGGTGAGGGTGGCGAAGGCTGTGTGGGTGATGACAGACGGCGGTTTGCTGACTCCAACAAACTTCTGTGGCTGCTGGAAGGTGGGTGGAGCTGGAGGGTTCAGGGCAGTGGCTGAGGAGGAACTATCAGTAACAAGGGGGACACAGGTGGCGGGGCGGGGCTGGGGGACAGCAGGGGCATGGTGAAGACTGGTAGAAAGGGCTGCGGGACACTCAGAGGCGGCTCTGAGGTACTGAAGTCTGTGGGCTGGATAAACGGGTCCTCAGTCTGGGAAGCGTGTTCACAGACCTGCCCATCCACAGGATCCAGGGATGGGGCAGCATGGGGCTCGATGATGCTGTCAGGAAGGCTCATGGTGGGGAGGGTGGTGGTATGCAGGATGCTCTCCTGTGCAGGTGGGTTGTTGGAATCTGGTACAGGTGTTGAGGCAGGTGCAGGTAGCATGGAGCCAAAAATGGAGCGGCTAGAAGAGAAGAGGTCCTGGAAAGGCTCGAAGGTGTCCATGAAGTCCAGGTTAGGCTGCAGAGGCATCAGCCCTGGCTGGATCATGTCCGCATTTCCCAGATTTGCTATTTCCCTGGGATCGGGTCAGGCTACTGGCTGGTGTGAAGACAGCCTGGAGAAGAGGGTGTGGATGAATTCTGACATGAGCATGTCTGTGTCCAGCAGGGGGTGCTCCTCTATGGGGATGGGGGTCTTCCATCCATCCCTGTGCTTGTGCCAGTACAGCATGTCATAGTCCTGGGCCAAGCTGGAGAGGTCTTCATCCTTGTGCTGCTGTAGCCTTTTCTTGAAGTAGGTTCTCCACTTGTGATACTCCCGGATCACAATCTCCATGCGGCTCTTCCAGTACTTCTCTTCCGTGGTGATGGCCTCAGGCCGGCAGTGCTTCTCTACATCCACAGAGCCGTCCAGGGGCGTCATACAGGATTCTTGCCCTTCTCCAGACACTGCATGTACCAGGCCCGCCAGATGGCATTATTGAGCCGGATCTTGTCTCTCCACTGGAGCTTCAGGTCCTTGAAATTCTTCCACTTTGGAGACACCAACTTCCCACTGTAGGCCAAAGTCATGCACTTGAACAGCTTGGTGGGCGAGGTGTCGACGGACAGGTGGCAGGAGCTGGTCTTGCCGAAGCTGTAGGTCTGGCATGTCTGCTTGTTGACCGTGTCGAAATCATAGCCCTTCTTGGGCGGGTGCTCCCGGTGAGGCGACGACACCATGAAATGGCCGCTGTGAATGATCTGCTGGCGGCGCGGAGGCTCGTCGCGGCCCAGCCCTGCCCGGGGCGGCGGCGGCGCGGTGCTCGAGTGAGCCCGAGCCGTGGTGGCCGCACCGGAGACGGCTCATCCGTGTCCGAGTCGTCGTTGTCCTCGGGCACCTGGGGCTTGAGCAGCACCGGGCGGCCCCGATTGCGGGGCCGGCGTGGGGAGCACATGAAGACGTCGGCGGCCATGAGAAGGGCCCTGCATTCCCCGGAGCCCGGGGAGACGCTATAGCAGCTTGTGGCTGAAGGGAGCTGCCTGGCCCGGCCCGCGCGCCGACGCGCGGCGCGGTGGGAGGGGCTATATTTTTATTTTTAATTGCATTTTAGGTTTTGGGGTACATGTGAAGAACATGCAAGATTGTTGCATAGGTACACGCATGGCAGTGTGATTTGCTGCCTTCATCCCCATCACCTATATCTGGCATTTCCCCCCATGCTATCTCTCCCCAACTCCCCACCCACCCCCACTGTCCCTCCCCTATTTCCCGACCCCCCACAATGATTAAATTACCTCCCACTCTGTCCCTCCCAGGACACATGTGGGGATTATGGGGATTACAATTCAAGATGAGATTTGGGTGGGGAAACAGCCAAACTATATCAGGAAAACTAAGAAAATCTGAATAAAGTATGGACTTTAGTTTTTAATAATGACAATGACTGAATATTGGTTCATTCATTGTGATAAATGTATATACTGACATAAGATATTAGCAGGAGAGAAAATGAATGGATGGATCTGGACAACATGAAAAATCTTGGTGCTATTTTCCCAAATTTTATTTAAATCTGAAATTGTTCAAAAATAAAAACAATTTAAAAATTGTTATTTTTTCAAACACCCGTTTATTTAATTAGTTGTACTATTAATCATTAGTAATTGACAGTGGTAACTGGCCTTCTTTTTTGAAACAGGGTTTCCTTCTGTTGCCCGCACTGGAGTACAGTGGCACCATCATAGCTCACTGCAGCCTGAAACTGCTGGGCTCAAGCAATCCTTCCACCTTTGCTCAGGAGCATACCACCATGCCTGGTTATTTTTTTACTTTTATTATTTACTTATTTTTTTTTTTTTTGAGACAGGGTCTCACTCTGTGGCCCAGACTGGAATACAGTGCTGTGGTCACAGCTATAACCTCCCAGGGTCAAGTAATCCTCCCACTTCAACCTCCCAAGTAACTGAGACCACAGGTGCCTGCCACCACATCTAGCTGATTTTTAAATTTTTTGTAGAGACAAGGTCTCACTATGTTGTCCAGGCTGGTCTTGAACTTCTGGGTAAAAGCTAATCCTCTCACTTTGATCTCCTGAAGTTCTGGGATTACAGGAGAGAGCCACTGCACCTGACCCCTACTGTTTTTAATAGAAGCATTCAAAACATTTATTATATTGAAAAGTATATGATACAGACTAACACATACTTCCAAATAATGTCACTTTGACATATTTTTATGTATAATACATATACATATAATTATCTATTATGTGTTATATTATTACTTTTTGTTATTGTGTTGCTATGTCCTGAGCTCATTCTCTCTTTTTTGAGAAAAGATCTCATTCTGACACTCAGGCTGGAGTGCAGTGATGTGATCATAGCTCACTGTAGCCTTGAACTCCTGGGCTCAAGTGATCCTTTCGTCAGTCTCTGGAGTAGCTAGGACTACAGGTGTGCACGACCATGCCAGGCTAATCTTAAAATTAATTTTTGTAGAGATGTGTTTCCGTATGTTGCCCAGGCTGGTCTCCAACTCCTGGGCTCATGTGAACCTCCTGCCCTGGACTCCCAAAGTGCTGGATTATAGGACTGAGCCATCATGTCTGGCCAAGGGTTCACTCTCTAAACAGCTGATTACCCTTTCACCAGGGAAAGCAGACTTTAGAGAATCGATTTCAATTCACAGTCAACATTTTCAAAAGAGTAGCTTTATAAAGTGATGCTCCAATGGTGAGTTGTGAGTGGTTCTCTTATTCCAAAGAAACCTCTCTTAGTTCTGTTTTCATGAGCATCTTTTAGCAGTTTACACAAATACTTGTCACTGGAAAAATAATATTCAAGGATTGAAAGAATGTTAACAGAATTCGTGATGATGATTTGATGTCTCATTGTGATGTTTTCTAAAACAAGTGTTTAAAAGAATATTCGATCTCATGATTTTCTAGATGCTTTGCAGAAAGTGATAAAATCAGAGAAACAAAACTTAGGGGATACAGTATGAGTGATTTTAGGTGTTGTTATGTTTTGTTAAAAAAAAAATTACGTCATAGAGCTATTATTGAAAGGAATTATTGGACACCCAAACACTGGAATGTTCCAATTCTAGCTGCACTTTTTTTTTCTTGGAGGAGTCTTGCTGTTGTCGCCCAGGCTGAAGTGCACTGGCATAATCTTGGCTAATTTTTGTACTTTTTAGTAGAGATGGGCTTTCACAATGTTGGCCAGGCTGGTCTCAAACTCCTGACCTCAGGTTACTCTGCCACCTCTGCCTCCCATGGTGCTGGGATTACAGCCTCCCAAAGTGTGGGCCTTAGCTGAACTTATAATTATGTTATGATGTTCCATATAGCTAGTCGTGTAGCTAATGATAAAAAAGGGATCTGTGACTTATTTGTATAATAAAATTCAATGCTCCTAGGAAGTCACATTAAACCTGAGATATAATTGAGAACAGCAGAAGTAAAATACTCTTCTGACCTTTGAATTTGTATAACAGAAGTAGCCAATCACTACCAAATGTATCATATAATAAATTAATAAATATACCTTATCAGTTACTGGTATTGTACTGCATTGTAGTTACTGGTACTGTGCCAGTAACTATATATATGTGTGTATGTGTGTGTGTGTGTGTGTGTGCATATATATACACACACGAATATATATACTTATATATACACACACATAATACATTACTGGGTCATGAGAAATCATCAAACATCGCAATTATGTCACTTGAAAACAAAATAAAAAATATATTTTAAGAATATAGTATTGTTGATGGAAAAAAGAGAATGAAAAATAGATAAAATTAAGAGTTCTGGGCTGGGTGTTGTGGCTCACACTTGTAATTTTGGTCCTTTGGGAGCCTGAGGCTGGTGGATTGCTTGAGCCCAGGAGTTCGAGACCAGCTGGGTAACACAGTGAAACCCCAGACTCTAAAATAATAATAATAATAATAAAGAATTTTGTATAAAACAACAAATAGAGGATAAATCAAGTCTTTTTATTTTTATTTTTTTATTTTTTAAAGATGGGGTTTCACCCTGATGGCCAGGCTGGTCTTGAACTCCTGACCTCAGGTGATCCACCCACCTCGGCTCCCAAAGTGCTAGGATTACAGGTGTGAGCCACCGTGCCTGGCCTGAATCAAGTCTTTTAACCGAACAAACTGGAAACCTAGAGGTAATGGGTGATTTCTTAGAAAAATATAAATCATTAAAATTGACCCTGAAATAAGGAAAACATAAACAGTGCAATTTGCATAAAGAGTTGTTATATGACCCCGTGACCATATGGGTTCACAGCTAAAGGCTAACTGGCCTTCAGCTAATTTCGTATTGCAAATGGTAAAGACCTAGAAAAACAAAAAAATGGAGTTCTCCCGAATTCATCTTGTGGTTTATTATGAATACTTGATACAGCGAACATTTCCTGTAATCCACGATGCTGATGACTAAAAACATGCATCACCTATGCACCCCTACAAATCGGCTGCCAATTAAACTGTGACTTTCTTAACAAAAGAACTAGAAGTATGGTTGACGAATTTACTTCCATTATAGCCAGGAAAAGAAGACTGTAGCAAGATGTGATTTTTGTTGTAAATAATATATTTAAACATAATGTAGTGGATTCCACGCAGCTCTTTTTCCACGCTTGCGCAGGGCTTTGGCACTGCGGGAAAACCTCCCAGCAAAACCTGGGCAACCGGGGCACCCACCCCGTCGGCCCCAGAGTCTCCATCGGGTACTCGCCCAGACACAAGCCAGAATCTGCAAAAGATACGGCGGCAGGCGATGACCAGAAGCAGTAAAGCCTCAAGGAGGCAAAACTTCTAAAAAGTAAGTGTTAAAAAAAAAATTCTCTGAAAGTAAAGAACTACGTGGGAACCTTCCAGAAAAGTGACCGCTTCCATTCGCAGTTTTAAAGCACCGTTCAAGGGCCGGGCGTGGTGGCTCATGCCTGTTATCCCAGCACTTTGGGAGGCCAGGGCGGCGGAACACTTGGGGTCAAGAGTTCAAAACAAGCCTGGCCAACATGGTCAAACTCCATCTAGACCAAAAAAAAAAAAAAAAAAAAAAAAAAAAAAAAAAATTAGCTGGGCCAACTACTTGGGAGGCTGAGGCATGAGAATCGCTTGAACCCAGGAGGCAGAGGTTGCAGTGAGCCGAGATCGTGCCATTGCACACCAGCCTGGGTGACAGAGTGAGACTTCGTTTTACATTTTTTTTTTTTTTTTTAGAAAGAAGAAATGAATTTATTTTTGATTGGATCTTAAAGGGTCAAATAGTAAATTCTCGCCATTACCAAGGTGGGGAGTTGAGATATACACTCTGCTCACTCTGGGAGAGCCAGGTTCATTTTTTGAATAAATACATGGGCGCTGATTGAATCCATCTGGTTTTGATTCAGCCCAGCAGCCTCAGAAAATGCAGAAGTCAGTCAGCTCTCTACTGGAGTCCAATGTCTATGGAAGGACAGTTTATGCTCATGTAGCCCAGGCACTGCCTATGCCTCAGTTGCCACGTTGAACCCAAGCAAACAGAGCCTGGCACGAGCCCTCAAGGGATAGTGCTTCCCATCGCTCACTGTTCTGAGCTTTTGTCCATGTGTCTGGGTCCAGATGAATGAGATTTACATTGTCTTAATAAATATTAATAGCCATTTTAATCTTAGTAAACTGTTTACATGATATATTCAAATGACTACCCAGTCATCTCAAGTCCCCCGTGAGAGTGAAGCCATCTCCTTGAAAAGCTGTATCAGCCCTCCCAGGCCTTTTAGGACCCACTGAGCTGGGTCTACTCTGATCCCAACTGGCTGCAAACAGCAAAGGAATCTTCCTGCCGTAATGGTCTCGGTTTTCCAGCACCCCGGGGAACCCATCGATCAGAGCCCTCTTAATGCCGGGATCATCTGCCTTGAAGTTTTTGAACATGTCCAGGTTTAGCTGGCGGTACTGGAAATA